CCGAGTGCATGAGCGCCTCCAGCGCCTCGCGCGCGCCGTCCGATTGCTCCGTCAAGCGCCGCCCGGCAGTCAGGCCTGTAGCGACAGCCTCGGCCGCCGCGCGCGGGGCGGGCCAGCTGCCTGCCAGACGCCCAGCGCGTCCCCGCCCCCTCTCAACCCGAGCACCGCGACGGCGTCGCCACGGGTCGGAACTGCGCAAGAGCCCTCCCGGGCCATGCCCGCACAACAACACCGCGCGGCCGCGGCTGGGGCGAGGCCTGGGAGCTCCGCCCGAGACAGGGCAGGGCCTCGCCCCGCCCCTCTGGAGGCGGGTGGCCCCAGGTGGGCGGGCCCAAGAAGCTGGAATCACTCCGTGCAACCAGAGGAGGGGGCATCGCCGACGCTGGGTTGCCACACTAGCAACAAAGGGCTGCAACTCGTCAAAATATCCATCTGCATCTTTATAGCATGCCCACCCTCGACGGCTCATCGACACCACATCGAAGACAAAGCTGGAAAAAACACGCGGCCACTACCAACCATCCTGACTCGCGGCCTCTGGCCTCCTGAAACAGCCGCGCTTCGCAGACCCAGGAACTTGAACTCGCCATGTTCCACGATCCCACGGCCCCCGCGGCGAGCCACAAACACATCTTCGCTCACAAGCTCCAGCCCACTCCCTTCGCAGCGCCTCATCGCCTGGCGCCGCCACTTGATAGCAATCCCGCCAGCCAACTCGCGTGACAGTTGAATGATCGGGAGCGGCCAAGAGGGGGGTGTCCAAGAGGGGGGGGTGCAAATCATGACCGGCGGCATGTGCGCGGCCCAGCGGGGGGGCCAGGGACGTGATGAGATAAGAAGAGGCGCCATGAAATCTGGGAAATATCATGGCCCCCACCACGATATCCCCCCCCCCTAGCCATCACCCCCCGCTTTTCCGCCCCCGAAGTGAAGTCCACGCGGTGAGGCTGCAGCAACCCGGGCCCCCCCACCCTGGGGAGCTACAGAGCATGATCTCCCCTCGCCGCGCGGCGAGCCCCCAGGGGAGCGCTCCCGCGGGCACCCCTCTATAGCAGGACATAGTCACGGCTGCCGCGGCGCCGGTGGGGCCTCGGACCCAGCGCCACACGGCTCTCTCGGTATCGCTCGGACGTCCATTTCCCGTGCATGTTTCGGTGTCGTGCGTGTGTTTTTTGCTCGATGGTCCAGGATGGTCCTCGATGGTTCTCGCCGGGAAAAAAAATGCACACGCCCGAGCGATGCCAGGCTCTCGGGGGCAACCAACGAGGCCGGAGGAACGACTGCGCGCGAGCAGCCCGAGGGCGCGGGGGCGTGGCGGATCGCCGCGCTACTGCTCATTCGAAGAGCAGCTGCCGACGCCATTCAAAGGCGGGCTCTGCTCGCCCCATGCGCAGCGACAGAAGGGCGCTAAACAGCGGCGCGCCCCCTTCCCATCAATCGACCGAGACGCTCGCCGTCGTCGCAGAAGCATCGCAGCTGGAGGGAAACCATGGCACTGCTGACCGCGAGAGGCCTGCGAGAGCCCCCTGTGGTCCACGATCATTGCGCGATATCATGTAAACAGGCTGAACGACGGAGCCCCTGTATTCGATCGGAGCGTTTCGCCGCCTGCTTCAGGTACTCCTTCGATTTAGCTGACCTCCTGGCCTTGCCTCGAGCGGCGCCCGCTCCTTCATCGACAGCCGCCTTCGCAACCTACAACGGGGCATCTGGACTCGCGGGAAAAAGCTGCCCCGACCATGTCGCCGGGCCCTCCGGCGCGCACGCTGGACCAGTCTCATCAGAGTTGACCTCTGCTCGCGGAGCCCCTCGGCCAACGCAGACAAAGCACCAGCTACGCCGGTCCCCCGAAGAGAACGCCGACCCGGAAAAACGCACGCCTCAATTGTGATGGCGGTCGACGGAAATCCCACCTGATCAGCAATCTGCAAGACAATGAGCAAGACTTTGCGAGTGGGGGTCCTGGCTGGGGGTGGGGGTCTCGCCATCGCTCGGACGTCCATTCTCTGTGTTTTTTTCGGTTTCGTGCGTGGTTTCTTCGCCAAATGATCAAGGATGCTCCTCGATGGTCCTCGCCGAAGGAAAAATGCACACGTCCGAGCGATGCCGAGGGGTGGGGGTGGGCTGTGCTGTCCTTAACCCACGCCGTGCTCCCGCGCCGTGCAGCGAAGCCGCGTGGCCTCTGCGGAGGCCGCAAGCTTGCCCGAGGGGGCGGAGACGGAGGGAGGGAACGAGGGGGAAGCACTGGCATCGGCATCGGCACCTGGCTCCTCGTCGAGGGGGCACGGCAGGGGGGGGGCTGCATCAGGAGGGGACACCTGGCATCGGCATCGGCACCTGCTCCTCGTCGAGGGGGCACGGAGGGGGGGGGGGGCTGCATCAGGAGGGGACACGTCGGTCTGGGATCGGCGATGCATCACCGACAGATCGGCGACAGGCCCCGGATAGCTGTAGACTCCGCAGGCTCCTGGGCGGGGCGGGCTATCGGGCACCCCCTGGCGATTCACGGGCGACTCGGGGCAGACACATCCCCCCTTGAGCCTATCCCCCCCAGCGATGCCCCTGAGGCATCGGATGGCATCGGCATCGGCCCCTCTGAGGTATGAGCCTACCCTGGGGCGGGCCACGCATGTCAATACCCACCGCCTGCCGAGGTCACCGAGGATCGATCCCCCAAGCTGAAGGGGCCCCAGGACACACAAATAAATACACACAAATAACACATATTCCCCATATGTTCCCATTTTTTCTGGGTTTCTGTCTTCCCCCCCACTTCCCAGATTTTCCCATATTTTCTGGGGAATCGAGGATTAATTGTGTCTGTGTGTTTTTTCCTCTCCTGACAAGCGGTGGTCATGGACGAGCCCCCTCCTCGGACGTCCCTCTTCCGCGTCGCCGGCCGGCGCTCCTCCATGGCCCTCCCCCCCCCGGCCCGCCTCAGGAAGCCCAGCGCCTCCGGGCCCAGGCGCGGCCTCCTGCGCAGAAGGAAGGGAAACAACAGCACGAACAGAATGCGGGATGACGATTAACAAAAAAAATGGGAGAGAACGATTTCAAGAAGTAGCTTCTGCTACTTCTGCACAAGTTTCTGACTGGACGAGAACGATTTAAAATAATAGTTTTCCAGCCCGCGGCCGGTTCTTTCTAATCGTCATCCCGGGCGCCGCCGCGTGAACACGACCCCCGGTCATTTATTAATCGTCATTCTCCATTATAAACTTGCGGCGCTCCGCGCGGATATCTTGGATCCGCGCTGGACCCCCCCCTCCCTGGCTCGCGGAGCGCGCCACGGGCGGCGCCGGAGGCGCCGCCGGGGGGGCCCAGCGCGGATCCAAGAAATCCGCGCGGAGCGCCACAAGTTTATGTTTGTGCCGTTGTTGCTTCTTCGACTGTGGGACGGCGGCGGTGGCCGGCGGGCGCTCTGGTCCAGGAAGCACGACACCCCAGACCCCGAGCAGCTTTGGGAGGGCCACGGTGGAAGCCACGGTGGGGCACCGAGCTTGAAGGCCGGGGGTCCCCCACTGGGCGCTGTACAAAAATTATCCCGGCAAAGCAACCTAACAACGATGTGTAGGAGCATATCTGGAAGCATTCCCCGTAAGATTAAGATGAGAATCCAGTGGTAGAATTATGCTGTCCTCGCAGTCGTAGTCGCATGCGCAATGACAGTCGCAGTGACAGCCTCAGCCTGCCTCAGCCTCAGACTCAGCCTCAGCCTGCCTCAGCCTCAGCCTGCCTCGGCCTCAGCCTCAGCCTGCCTCAGCCTCAGCCTCAGCCTGCTTCAGCCTCGGCCGCAGTCTGCCTTCAGCCTTCAGCCTGCTTCAGCCTCGGCTTCAGCCTCAGCCTGCCGCAGCCTCAGCCTGCATCAGCCTCAGCCTCAGCCTCAGCCTCAGCCTCAGCCTCAGCCTCAGCCTCAGCCTCAGCCTCAGCCTCAGCCTCAACATCAGCCTGGCTCAGCCTCAGCCTCAGCCTGCCTCAGCCTCAGCCTCAGCCTCAGCCTGCTTCAGCCTCAGCCTCAGCCTCAGTCTGCCTTCAGCTTCGGCCTCAGCCTCAGGCTGCATCAGCCTCAGCCTGCATCAGCCTCAGCCTCAGCCTCAGCCTGCCTCAGCATCAGCCTGCCTCAGCCTCGGCCTCAGCCTGCCTCTGCCTCAGCCTCAGCCTGCTTCAGCCTCAGCCTCAGTCTGCCTTCAGCGTCGGCCTCAGCCTCAGCCTGCCTCAGCCTCAGACTGCATCAGCCTCAGCCTCAGCCTCAGCCTGCCTCAGCATCAGCCTGCCTCGGCCTCAGCCTCAGCCTCAGCCTCAGCCTGCCTCAGCCTCAGCCTCAGCCTGCTTCAGCCTCGGCCTCAGTCTGCCTTCAGCCTCGGCCTCAGCCTCAGCTTGCCTCAGCCTCTCCCTCAGCCTCAGTCCCTGCAACCCCCCCCCCCCCCAAAAAAAAAACCCCCCCCTCAGCCTCAGTCTCAGCCTCAGCCTGCCCAGCAATCAGCCTGCCTCAGCCTCAGCTTCAGCCTGCCTTCAAAGAACAACCAAAGCAAAAACAAAACAGAATCAAATAAAAACTCAACAACAACCAAAGACACAACCAAAGAACTCACAAAAACACCAAAAAAAGGGAAACAATCACTCAACAACTCAATCAAAAATTCAACATCTCAAAAAATCCGGCAAAGAGCAAGAAAACAGACAGAAAAAAAGAAAGAAGAATAAGAATGATTAAGAATAAAGAAGAAGTATGAATTGACAAGAGTGAGAAATAAGATCAAGGCTGCATCTCCTCAACTGAAATAAGAACTCAAGACTCAGACTCGCCTGAATCCAGACATAAGAATGACATCTGCATCGACTGAGGCAGCCTGCCTCAGCCTCAACCTCAGCCTGCCTCAGCCTCAGCCTCAGTCTGCCTTCAGCCTCGGCCTCAGCCTGCCTCAACCTCAGCACCAGCCTGCCTCAGCATTCAAAATATGGCCCAGGAATGGAGTTCTTGGAACTCGAAGAACACGAAGTGGCCTACAGTTGGCTCCGGGCATTCAAAATCATGCCCAGGAATGTAGTTTGGGGAACTCGAAAACCACGAAGAGGCCTACAGTTGGCTCCGGGCATTCAGAATCATACCCAGGAGTGGAGCTTTGGGAACTCAGACCACGAAGTGGCCTACAGTTGGCTCAGGGCATTCACAATGTGGCCCGGGAATGGAGTTCCGGGAACTCGAAGAGCACGAAATGGCCTACGGTTGGTTCCGGGCATGGGAGTTGTGGGACCTCGCAGACCACGAAATGTGCAACTGTTTGCTTACAGCGACATCCGCGGATCCCTGTCCGGATGCCGCCCAAACCCCCTTCTGGGGAGTCATGATGCTCTCTTTTGCCACTACTAGAAACCTGTTTGTCTTCGCTGTTATATGAAAACCTTGCACGGACGAGCTGCTCAGGGAAAGATCGCCTGGGGGCGACGAGGGAATGCCACCGATATGCGATAGAGGGTGGCCCTGGGGGTTTTGCCCGGAATGCCCCCTCTCTCGGGCGTTGGCAGAACTGGGTTTAGTGGAACCTGGTTTAGTGATGTGTACTGGGGGACGCCCCCCCCCCCGCGCCCCGCTCCACTAACCGGAACGGCCGTCGGGTGACACCAGCTACGGCAGACCTGATTTAGTGATTCTGGCCAATTCAAGGGCCCCAGGGCCCTACCACTAACCTGGTCCCCTTGCCTGGGTTTCTGGCTATACCCGACTCTCTTTTACACTGCCTGATTATGTGGAAGGGAACTCGGGGATTGGTGGCGAGAGATCTTATGCGACCCCAGAAATCCGAAATCGTGCTTCGCTCTGTGCTGGCCGCTCTTCTTCGGCTCTTCTGGCCTGCAGCGGCCCAGCTCTGGCCCGCAGGACCGTCGAAGACTGGTCGGGGGAAAAAACTAGCCTCCCAGAGGGAATCGGGACTTCGATTAAGTCGGGCGTGTCCCCCTACAGGGGGATTTTCAACGAAAAATAAGATATACTCAAATTACCCAGGGACGTACCCAACCCTTTGGCAACAAGTGGCATTACCAACTGGCGCTTTCAAAATAGCAGAACATCCGCTGGACGTCCAAGAGGCCCACGAAAGCGACGACCATTGCATTATTGGCAATCGCCGCTCTTGAGGGTCAAGCGGTGTACTTCGCTCAACGAAGAATTAGCGCCCCGCGCTCTCGAGGGACAGCGCTGTGCACTGCGCTACAGGACGGCGCCGCGCGACCGATCAGCGAACAGCGTTCTGCGCTCGATCCAGGGCCGCGCCAGGGCCGCGCATCGGTGTCCACATACTGGCTGCACCAGGGCCGCGCCTTCTGGGCAAAGGCGGCTCCACGGGCGGCTTCCTGTCGCACGGAAAAAGTCCCTCTGTCGCACTGGCAGGGCAGGTTGCACAGGCGGCCGCTCCGCGGCCACCCCTTGTGGCCATCCGAACTGCGTCCGGCCGTGATGACAAGGGGCGGCTTGAGGCGACCGCCTCGCTGCCTGGCTGGCTGCCTCGTGGGTTACCTCGTTAGCCGCCTCGCTGGCTGCCTCGTGGGCCGCCTCAACGGCTGCTTTTTTTTTGGCTCCAATGCACTTGCTGACGCTGGTGTTCCTGGTGCTGCTGCAACTGGTGCCGGTGTTGCTGGTGCTGCTGCAGGTGGTCGGAGGAGGGTAGTGCTGGTGCTGCTGGTACCTGTAGCAGAAGAACAATATTTTGCTGTTTCGGTCGCACCCCATTATCATGGGCCTGTTGCTGTGGTTTGGGCCTGTAGCCTTAGCTTTAGCTCGGGCCTGTAGCTGTAGCAGGAGAGTAGTATTCTGCTGTTTCGGTCGCACCCAAATCGCCCTGCTCACAGCAACTCCTCTGGACATCGTCGTTGGAAACCTGACCGACAAATCCCGATAGTCGGTACTCTTCGCTAGAGTGGCTGTCTTGGGCCGTCTTGGGGCCTCGTGGGCAGTCTTCGGGCCGTCTGGAAAGCCTCTTGGGCCGTCTTGGGGCAGTATTGGGTGCCTCTTGAGCCGTCCTGTAGCTCCGGAAAGCCGAAAAGACGAGAAGGCCAACATCCTTCAAAAACAATCGTAAAATTCTTGGTTTTGGCCTCTCGGGGCCCTCCCATGAAGCCTTTTGGAGGCCTCTTGGAGCGTCTTGGAAGCCTCTTGGGCCGTCTGGGGCCCACCTTGAACGTCCTGGAGCGATCGTTCGGCGTCTCAGGAGCCCAGCCCACAAAAGTGCCGACAGTTGCGCAGTTGGCAGCTCCCCCCGCAGGGAGCCGCGAGGTCCCGACGCGATCCGCGTGTACCCCAACTCCGCTGGGCCCAGGAGCCCACGAAAGTGCCAACAGTTGCGCAGTTGGCAGCTCCCCCCGCAGGGAGCCGCGAGGTCCCGACGCGATCCGCGTGTCACCCCACTCCGCTGGGCCTCCCAGGAGCCCACGAAAGTGCCGACAGTTGCGCAGTTGGCAGCTCCCCCCGCAGGGAGCCGCGAGGTCTCGACGCGATCCGCGTGTACCCCAACTCCGCTGGGCCTCCCAGGAGCCCACGAAAGTGCCGACAGTTGCGCAATTTGGCAGCTCCCCCCGCAGGGAGCCGCGAGGTCTCGACGCGATCCGCGTGTCACCTCCACTCCGCTGAGCCTCCCAGGTGCCCACGAAAGTGCCGACAGCTGCGCAGTTGGCAGCTCCCCCCGCAGGGAGCCGCGAGGTCTCGGCGCGATCCGCGTGTACCCCCACTCCGCTGGGCCTGCCAGGAGCCCACGAAAGTGCCGACAGTTGCGCAGTTGGCAGCTCCCCCCGCAGGGAGCCGCGAGGTCCCGACGCGATCCGCGTGTACCGGCGCCGCCACTGGGGCCTCCCAGGAGCCCACGAAAGTGCCGACAGATTGCGCAGTTGGCAGCGTCCCCCGCGCCGCGCAGGGAACCGCGAGGTCCCGACGCGAATCCGCGTGTACCCCCCTTCCGCTGGGGCCCTCCCAGGAGCCCACGACAGTGCCCGACAGTTGCGCAGTTGGCAGCTCCACCCGCATTGAGCCCGCGAGGTCCCGACGCGATCCGCGTGTAACCCCACTCCGCTGGGCCTCCCAGGAGCCCACGAAACAAAAAAAAAAAAAGGAAACGAAAAAAAGTGCCACCCTCACAGTTTTGCGCAGTTGGCAAAAAAAGAAAAATCAAAAAAAAAACCAAAAAAGCAAAAAAAAAGAAAAAAACAAAAAAAACAAAGAAAAAAAAAAAAGCTCCCTCCGCAGGGAGCCGCGAGGTCCCGACGCGATCCGCGTGTACCCCAACTCCGCTGGGCCTCCCAGGAACCCACGGAAGTGCCGACAATTGCGCAGTTGGCAGCTCCCCCCGCAGGGAGCCGCGAGGTCCAGACGCGATCCGCGTGTAACCCCACTCCGCTGGGCCTCCCAGGAGCCCACGAAAGTGCCGACAGTTGCGCAGTTGGCAGCTCCCCCCGCAGGGAGCCGCGAGGTCCCGACGCGATCCGCGTGTGACCCCACGCCGCTGGGCCTCCCAGGAGCCCACGAAAGTGCCGACAGTTGCGCAAGATCGCAGGAGGCGACAGATGCGCATATCGCAGCCCCCCAGAGGGCGCCGCGAGGAGGAGGTAGGAGGCAGGAGGGAGGTGGGCGGGAGGACGGGGCGACCAGAGTGCTCTATTCAAAACGAGTACCCAACCAAGGGAGGGTTGGGAACAAATCCAATATGGTTAGGAAAAATACCCAAAAAATAATCCCCATACTAATGTTTGACTATTTTTGAATATTCATCCTGTAGAGGGACGGGCCCGACGTAAGACTTCGGGGGACCCATAATGGCACGACGTCAGAGGTCCCGGAGGTCCCGGAGCCGTCTTCAGCAGCACGATGGCACAATTTGCAAGAAGCGACCATGGTGTACCCAAAGCTGCAGAGATGGCCGACACCAAAAACCCTGTCTCTGAGTGTGCTAATATATCCTGTGGACGTCCTTTTTACTTCCTCTGGCTTGCGCCGGCAAAAAACATCCCTGGACACGTCGGAACCGCCCCCCCCCCCCAAAAAAAAAAACATTCGAGGCGCCCGGGGAGCCGCCCCCCCCCGCACCCCACCCCACCGGACACCGCCCCCCCCCACCACCCCCCCGCCAGCCCCCACCCTCCCCCTACTTACGCAGGACGAAAGATGTTCCTCTTGAGGTGAAAATGGCCATGAGGATTTCGCGAGATAACGTCGGCGCCGCCGAACGGACGGCGACCAGACGTGCTGTTTGCAGCATCCGGGGTGAGAGGGATGTATGTATTCATGTTGAATGGGGCCCGTTCGCGCGGGGAGTTGATGGGGGTGCGCGAGACGACGCAGCGCCCATCGTGGAAAGTTAAGTACCGACCACCCCTTCCCCTGTAGAATCTTAACACGGGCGGTTTGCGGGGTCCGCGGATACGATTTCTTCCGGCTCCCTGGTTTAATTTAGTAATATAATAAATTTAAAACAGGTCAGAAATCGGATCCGCCGTGAAAAATAAGACCGAACACGGATCCAACAAATCCGAAATCGGATCCGCGCGGACGGAAATCGGATCCACTGAAACACAAACAAAAACCAAAATTGGACCCGCGCGAAATTCATTGGATCCGAAGGCGGGTATTTCACACGCGTCTGCTTAAGACTTCAAACCTTCGCTCCGGGCCCAAGAGGAAAAAACTTTCGTCCTGGGGATGTAGTAAAATCAGATTTGTGCTCGATCAAGCCTTAGTAGAGTCCACTGTAGCTGGATCCAGCTTCAATAGCATCGCAGTCGGGCTCGATCCAACTCGAAACATAATACTAAATAGCTGGATGCAGCTCTTTTTGAATCCGATGAAGGCTCGATCCAACTCTGAAAGAATCCGACCACAGATGGATCCAACTTTACTTGCACCCTAGTCGGGCTCAGTCCAGGTCAATAGTATTCCTATTATATCTGGATCCAGCTCCAATCCTAACAAGGCGCCATCCAGCACTCATGTAACTCAATTGAACCCTACTGGACTAGATCCGACTCTAAGAGAATCTTACCAAGAGGCTCGACCCAGCCTTCATAGCATCCTACTATGGCTCGATCGTCATCGTCGTCGTCGTCGTCGTCGTCACCCGACAGCGCCCGAGCCGGCATCGCCATCGTCGGCTGCCAATGGGGATGGAGGGGGGGGCCTCCCCACAGTTCAACCCCCCCCCCTTGACTTCCCACCCACCCCTGCAATTCGGGCCCCCCCCCCCCGATTCGAACTCCTGCTGCGCAGGACCCGCGAGGGGAGCTGCATGCCCCGAGCCCTCGACATCTGTGCTCCCCTTCGGCCGGCTCATTCTCGCTGCAGCCTAGCTGCAGCTCCTCACTCCGCGTCGTCGTCCTCGTCATTTCGAATTCCACTACACGGTAGGTGCGACGCAAGAAGAGCACAAGAGGGTTCCAAGATGGATCTAAGATAATCCGACAAGGCTCCAGGAGACACCCAAGGTGGCCCAGAGAGCCTCGGCGGGATCCCGAGGGCCACAGAGAGAAAGCCACGAAGAGGACCCAGGAGGCCCACAAGGGACTCCAGGAGAGGCTCCGAGAGAGGCCCCACATGCCTGCCGAGAAAGCCCCCATACGGCCAGCAGTGTCGAACCACACAAGCGCTTGGCCCGTGAGGTGCTCCAGCTGGTCCAGGAGGGCTCGACGAGGGACCTGTAATCCCGACAGGGCTTCGGGAGGCCCCCAGGCTGGCCCAAGCAGCCCCGGTGGGATCCCAAGAGCAACCAGGAGGCCCCCATGGAGGCCCGCACGAGGCTCGAGGGGAGGCCCCACGACGCCCCGAGGGAGACCCCAGGCAGCCAGCACTGCCAAACCTTCGGGTGCTCGAATGCATGTGGCCGCTTCGAGAGGGCTCCCGAGGGCTCCAGGACTGCCCAGGACGGCCCCAACAAGCAAGCCGGAACGGCCCCCCAGACGGCTCCAAGAGGCCCCCATCCTCGCTCCTCCACTCCTCCCCACGCTTCCTCGCCGCCATCCTCCTCCAGTCGAGCCCGAGCTCAAGGTGGAAACACCTGCAATCAAAAGAATCGGCGACTTCTCGCGGCAAACAGCCCCACAGGCATCCGCCGCCTCCCCGGGCGAAACGCGCC